TTATGGTTCCAGCTCACCTTTAATCTTCATCAGAGGTAACATGAACGCGCAGCGTTATATCCACGAAGTTCTAGAACCACATCTTTTACCCTATCTTGACGCCCTGGCAGATCCAAATTTCCAACAAGATAATGCCCGACCACATGTTGCAAGAGTCACAATAGACTTCTTTCAACATAATGATGTCACATTGTTACCATGGCCACCAAGATCTCTCGACTTATCCCCAATTGAGCACGTGTGGGATATGATGGGTAGGAGATTGCTCAATTTGCAACGTCCTGCTCAGACTCTAGAAGCACTTCGAGAGGTGTTGGTGGTTGCCTGGAATGAGATACCACAGCAGGACATTGACCACCTGATCAGAAGCATGCCTAGGCGCGTTTGAGAATGCGTAGCACATCAGGGTGTATCCAGGCATTATTAAAGGTCAAAGGGCTTTAAAGCAGTGCAATCATTTTGAAATTTTTATCATTTTCTTATTATGCTTCATTAAGTACTTATACAAAATTTTATTAAAATAAAACCATTTAAACTGGATGTTCGGATTTATATGTCACTTACTATATATTTGTTATTTCTACACATTCTTGAATTGAATAAGTCATTGTTCAATATTTGTCTCAACTAGGTATGTAACTTAACGATTATTTGAAACGAAGGACTCAAATTTTCACTGACAAACGATGACATTCACTGATGTCCTTGATGGCATCCATGATTATTACATATTTTTTGCCTTTTTGCCATTAGTATCAGTATTAGACAAGTTAGTCGAATTTTATTATAAACTCGAAAAACTTCACAATGATTGAAGATAGGTATGCACTTTATTATACAAAAGCTACTAAAAACTTCATGGAAAATTTAAAAATAAAAAAATGGAGTTTTCATTCAAATATACTAAGTGACATATAAATCCGAACACCCAGTTTAAATGGTTTTATTTTAATAAAAGTTGGTAAATGTATTTATCTTACTGTAAATAACAAGTGAAAAAATTTTCAGCCTTATCAGTTGGTCATTCCGGTTTTTATACTGCTTTTTTTTAATTTACTAACGCTCTAAAAATGAATATTTCAGCCGCAGTAAAGAATCAACGATCGGTTACGATGCCTAGAGTACGGAGACCTGTACGATTTCGTCAACTTAGTGAGTTTGATAGGGGCCGTATAGTGGGACTTCGGGAAGCTGGACTTTCTTTTCGGGCAATTGCAGTTAGAGTGCAAAGAAGTGTAGACACTGTGGTTAGGTGTTGTCAGGCATGGCTTCGAGAAGGCAGTACCCAAAGAGCAAGGGGCACTGGACGCCGCCGTAGAACAACAGACCGTGAAGATCGCCGCCTAAGATTATTGGCCTTAAGGGACCGTTTCTCTACTACCAGGTCCATTGCAAATGAATGGTTTGCAGAACACGGAAGACCTATTGGCATGCGAAGTGGTTACCGACGAATGAGAAGTTTTGGCTTGTTTTCATACCGGCCACACTGAGTCCTCCCTTTAACTCGAGAACACTGACGTAATCGCCTTGAGTGGTGCAAACAACGGTCACTCTGGGATCAGGAATGGAACAGTATTGTCTTCAGTGACGAGTCTCGATTTTGTTTAGGCATGCACGATGGTCATGCCAGGGTTAGAAGGCGACGTGGTGAAAGGAGGAATCCACAGTTTTTTGTTGAAAGACATGTTCATCACACTGTTGGAGTTATGGTTTGGGGTGCTATAGCTTATGGTTCCAGGTCACCTTTAATCTTCATCAGAGGTAACATGAACGCGCAGCGTTATATCCACGAAGTTCTAGAACCCCATCTTTTACCCTATCTTGACACCCTGGCAGATCCAACCTTCCAACAAGATAATGCCCCACCACATGTTGCAAGAGTCACAATAGACTTCTTTCAACATAATGATGTCACATTGCTACCATGGCCACCAAGATCTCCCGACTAGTCCCCAATTGAGCACGTGTGGGATATGATGGGTAGGAGATTGCTCAATTTGCAACGTCCTCCTCAGACTCTAGAAGCACTTCGAGAGGAGTTGGTGGTTGACTGGAATGAGATACCACAGGAGGACATTGACCACCTGATCAGAAGCATGCCTAGGCGCGTTGGAGAATGCGTAGCACATCAGGGTGCATCCACACATTATTAAAGGTCAAAGGGCTTTAAAGCAGTGCAATCATTTTGAAATTTTTATCATTTACTTATTATGCTTCATTAAGTACTTGTACAAAATTTTATTAAAATAAAACCATTTAAACTGGGTGTTCGGATTTATATGTCACTTAGTATATATAAAATGTAACGCAATAACTTATTTTTGGATCACCCTGTACTGTCCGGCTATAGATGAAAAGAACCCCCCTAGAAATCAAAATTGACGTGTTCGTGCGTTTTTCCCCAAATAGGGAGAGTCACAAATGAGGTGCGACCTTTCGTTGGGCCACCCTGTATACGGATTTCGCTAAAGCTTTTGAAAAAATTGATCATAGCGTTTTGGTTAACACATTGGTAGATTTTCGATTTTCTGATCAGGTTGTGAAGTTCATGATATCATAATAGTCGGACGCATATGGAGCTATATCTGGAGTTCCGCAGGGATCAAACTTTTGACCGTTACTTCTTCTAATCTTTATAAATGATATAAGTACTAGAGACTTTAACAGTAGAAAAACTTGGTTTTGCTGATGATTTAAAAATATATCGCGCAATATCTAACGACACTGATTGCTTGGAACTTCAGAGCCAGCTTGACCCGATTGAGAGCTGGCGTAACAATAATATAACAACACTAAATGTAGATAAGTGTAAGATGGTGAGCTTCATAGGAAATAAAGAATTTATAGGTTTTAAATATAATATTGATGGAAATAACCTGATAAGGTGTACAGGAGTTAGGGATTTAGGTGTTATTTTCGATTGTTATCTTTTTCTAAACATATTGAGAAAACTGTATCTGAAGCATTAAGATAAGGAATTGTAAAAGTTTTGACAATATCAGCACTAATAAAATACTTTACTCACCCTAGATCGAAACTTGAATATGCCAGCATTATATGGAATCCATATTATGTGTATAAAATGTATGTTGAACGAGTTCAGCGAAAATTTCTTAAATTTCTCACCTTTAAAGTTGTCGCTATTTATCCAAAAAGAGGAATCAATAATTATGAACTATGTAGTAGATTTGAAATACCTGGCTTAGAGCATAGGCGGCGTTGTTTTTATTTAAATTGCTGCACGGATATGTAGATTGTTCTGATGTTCTGGAGGCTTGCTGTGCCTCCATGTTCATCGCAGCGTAATGCGACATTTAAACTACCTAGAGCTAAGACTAATATGTTATTTAAGTCTCCAGTCTATGTTATGTGTGATAAATCAAACTGTATCTCGAGCCGTTATGCGACATTTTTCTCTACACTGAACGGGTTTATCAGAACACCAAAGAGGTTATGGAACTAATTTTGAACTCTTTTTTTGTCGGTTAATTATCTGCATCTCGACCTAGGGTATAATTATTATAATATAAAAGGTTGTCCAATAGGGACGCAGGAAAGTAAACGTCAATTTGACATAGACGCCATCTTTGTTTTCTGTCACCGACATGTCATTTTGTTAGTTGAATGTTTACCATTGATCGCTATGGAGTCGTATTCGATTGAAGACCGCATTAAAGTTATTCAAGAGCACTACAAAAATGGTGCAAAAATAAAAAACACGTTTCGCGCGCTTCGTGAACATTTCGGTCGCAACAACCGCCCAAACGAAACAACCATCGGTCGTCTGGTTCGAGGCAACAGGTTCTATGGCAAATCTGCCAGGCTCTGGCCGGCCAAGGAGCGTTCGCAGACCGGAAAATATTGCTGTTGTGAAGAAGAGTGTGAGAGACGATCCGAAACAGTCAACAACGCGTCGATCCCAAGAATTGGGCATTTCGAGAACCAGTTCGCTCCGCATTCTCCACAAGGATTTGAATGTACACGCCTACAAGATCCAATTGACGCAAGAGCTGCGTCGGGCCGACCATTTTTCGCGCGGAACGTTCTCAGATTGGCTCCTTGAACACCGCCAAATTGATGCCAATTTTTCATCAAAAATCATGTTCAGCGACGAAGCGCATTTCACTTTGAATGGAACGGTAAACAAGCAAAACTGCCGCATCTGGGCGAACGAAAATCCCCGTGAGTATCAAGAGCAGCCGATGCATCCTCAAAAAGTGACTGTGTGGTGTGCATTGTGGTCAAAAGGCATCATCGGTCCTTACTTTTTCGAAAATGCGGTCGGGGACGCCGTTACCGTCAATTCTGAGCGATATCACGTGATGATAGAGGACTATTTTTTTGCCGCAACTTGAAGGAATGGATATGGACGATGTTTATTTCCAACAAGACGGTGCAACATGCCACACAACCAACGTCAATATCCATCGATTGCAGTCCTTCTTCGGTGATCGCGTGATTTCGCGCAGAGGAAATGTGCCATGGCCACCAAGATCGTGCGATTTGACTCCCTTGGACTTCTTTTTATGGGGATATTTGAAAAGCAAAATCTACGTCAACAAACCAGCCACCCTCCAAGAACTCAAAAACAACATCATTGCCGAGATAAATGCCATAGAACCGACCATGTTGCAAAATGCCATTGAAAATTTCGACCATCGCGTGGACGTCTGTAAATCCAGTCGTGGTGAACATTTGAGCGATATTATTTTTCATACATAAATGGTATAAATGAACCTTCAAAATAAAGTACCCAACTTGATTTGAATATCAATCTTTCGTGTTTTAAGATGCGTTTACTTTCCTGCGTCCGTTTTGACCAACCCCATATTATAATTATTCCTTCAGTTATAGCACACAAGGGCATGTAATTTAATTGTTATATTATAGCATATTATCCTGTAAATAAGAAACCGTTGGATAATAAAGCCATTATTATTATCAAATATTATTATTATCAGATTGCAGATTGCAGATGTATTAATACTAGCATTACTTACCTATATAGTCATCCTTGATTCCGTCAGGTGGTATTACGTAATCTACAGTCCCGTCATGATAAAAATGGAAAGGCTGGAATGTATCAAACAAGAAATCACCCATATATTCGTCCATGTAAGTCTTTACGATCCTCCTATCGAAATCGTCTATTACTCTGCCACCATACATCACCTACAATGCATTATTACTTTAGTCAACTGTCAGTCTTAACAGAATGTTTATCTTATTATTAAAAGTTTTAAAACAGACCAGTCTCTCGGATGCATCTAAAACACACAGAAATAATTCTACAGCCTTCTATAAAAATGTCATACAGTACTTTTCTAAGGAGATACAGGTACTTAAGACCCGATTTTACTAAGCCGCGGTGCAAAAACGCGCGCGGGTCACAAATTGAACCAATGAAAAGGCGTCCTTGAAGCAATGGATCTAATGAAAGGTCGATTCCTTGTAAAATGTCTCTCAAACTAGGAAAGTATACGGTTTGTGTAAAATGCGCCTCTAATTCTCATAATAAATCAAAAAATACAGTAGCGGACAAGAGTTTGGAAATATTCTTAGTAATGTTTAAAAAGTGAGCTAATTTTTTATTCTTTATTATTAAGGACTATTTTTTCTCATATTGTTTGCTTACAATCTTTAGGATACAAATGACAATTTGTGTTTGCTGTGCTACTACAGACTAGCATTAAAATACCTTCATATTCTTCTATGACCAAAAATGAGACGACAAAAGTATGGAAACATACTTTTTATTACAAAATTAAATACAATAACTCTATAAAAATATTCAAAAAATACTGCGTAGCTAATACTTGATAGCATTTATTACTGCCTTACATCTGCTGCTCATAGAAGACAACAATTTTTTACAGACGTCTGTTGAGATACTTTGCCAAATATTTCTTACATAATCAAATAAATCGTTCCTATTTTTAAAAGTTTTTCTCTCTTTTAACATGCTCTCAGATATGTTCTACGGGGATTGCGAAGGCCATGTAAGAACATTAACATTTTAGTCTTAACCACTCCTTTACGAATTTTGAGGTATGCTTGGATTCGTTATCTTGCTGTAATGTCCATCGTAAAGGCATTTCTGCTTCAGCAAAAGGGAGCATGTGTTCACTAAGATTACCTTTGTAAAGTTTTTGATCCATTTTCCCAACAATTTTGATTACCCGTTCCAGAACTAGAAAAACAATCCCAAACCATGGTGTTGCCTCCACCTTGCTTAACTGTTAGCAACTGATACCTCTTGTCGAATCTTTTTCGTATTGGACGTATCACATATGCCGTACTGTCAGATCCAAACAAGTTAAATTTACTTTAATCGCCCCATAAAACTGTATTCCATTGTAGTTCTGTCCAAGTTAGATGAGTTTTAGCAAATTCAAGCCGAGCATTACGATTTTTTTTAAATAGTCTTTTTTAAAATAGTGCATAATGACGTGCGACGAGTACCAAGTCTTGAGAACGATGTCTGGTAGACGTCTCAGGGCGCTCCACTACACTTTCACGAACTCTCTCGATATTTTCCGGAGTACGAACAGTTCGAACACGGCCCGATCTTTAACTTCACCTGTCTGTTCAAATTTCCGCACCAAGTGACGAATTGTTGACATTGGGCACATTATTTCGACCGAAATCTTGTCGTAGCTTCCGAATCGTTGCAACAATCGACTCGTTATTTAAGTAGAACGTTTCAACAATACGGACGCGTTGTGGGATCGTGTAGTGCTCCATAATGAATTGGACACATGTGCTTCAAACAAGTACGGCGCCACCTACTGAAATAAATGTATGTATCAAAAATGGCGCGCAATTTATATCAGTTTAAATCACATATATTGGCCACCCTGTAATGAATTAAATATAGATCGGGTATTTCAAATTCGACTATCACCATTAGAATCTCAAAATTTCAAAATAAATTGCTTTTTCTCGTTTACAAGATGGAGTAATTCGAATATTAATATGACGTTTCGTCTCTTGTCCTCCAGCATCAATTTTTTTTCCTTCTAGACGCCCTATTGGATTTTTGAAGAGATGCATAGAGTTTTTAATTCTGATTCCAAAAATGTGTAATACGTCTTACATTGACGTTGCCTATGTTATCTGAAAAAAAGCAGAATTTCCTAGGTACCTAACCTTTGAAATTATCATACGAGATTTACTTTTATTTTTTCCTAACTTTTAGATGAGATTTCAAAATAAATTGCTTTTTGGTATTGCTTTTTATTCTTGTATACAAGATGGCGTACTCAAATTTTCAATTCGACATTTGAATCCACTAGGATCACAATACCCTAAATCCACTTTAGCTAAATGTGCATGAAAGCAAAAAAACATTTTAGCTAACTTTTGAATTAACATATATGACGAGATATGCTTTTTAGGATTCCTAATAATCATATATTCAGTAATATAATGTAAAAATACAATATTCTTTAGGCTGAAAGTGGCAATTTAAAGAATAAAATCGGATTTAGTGCAGTTTGCAACCAAACCATGGATTTAGTGGAATATGAAACTGTCTAATATGGATTTAGTGGATTTTGACGTGGACTGAATTTTATTTTCAAGTTTTAATAATACTAGGTATGTAGGAAAAAAGTGTTACCTTTATTTTTAACAAAAAGTATTGGAACAAAATCAAAACAAAACATGTTTATGAAATGTTTCAGCAAAATAAACGGCACGCGTTAAACTGATTAGCACATTCGGAAAACTCAAGAGTTAATTTCGGCAAAGATAAAAAGTGATGATCTATACTACAATCTAAACTAATACATCTGGAACTTCTGCCATTCTTTCACAAAGCTCAGTGTTTTCTGAACTACCTTGCTCAGCCTCTTCTCCTTCATCTCCGTCATTGGTTGCTGTGTTTTCTACTAAATGTTTTTCAAACACATTTTTATAATATCCTAAGCAAGTCAATCCCTTCCATGCGGTGCCATAATGTTTGGTCAAGAGCTTAGCTACATCTTATAGTTTTGCTTGTTTTGGCGGTATACCACTACCTATTGGGAGCGGATTTAATGATTCGAGATTTTTTTTGGTTTGCATACGGTCTTGTAGACTCCTAAGTCTGACCGGTAACTTTGCTCACCTCTTACTGTGACTGTATTGTTTCTTCCTTTTTTCAACAGAAACCTTTTAACCATATTGAATTTAATATGCCATTGGGCGGGTGGTTTCAAAACTTCCCTAGTTGCAGACTTCCAGTCAAAAACAGCTACATCCTTGCCTAACTCCACTACGCAACCATGTTCCTCAAAAATGTTGAAATATTCTTTGGGCTCTATGATTTGGTCCTGTCGCCTTATCTTCTTGTCAATGCCTGCGAAGACCCTATCTGGAGGTATAAATGAATGCCCAACAACTGGAAAGATCAGTTCGAGTTCTTCAACTGACGAAGTACTTAACCATTTTAGGCACATACCTAACATAATTGTGTTTTTATTCTGACCTCCACATCCATCAGCCATGAGTCGTATTTTCCGTATGCCATTAATATTGCTATTATTCAGCGTATAAGACACTGCAGACGCAATGTCGTTAGCTCCTTTCGCATGTTGGTCCTCCGTCCAGGCAAATATTCGCACGTTTTCTGGTGTCAGCTTAGAATGTGAATCACCGGTTACAGTTGTGAAATTATAAAGATACAGTTGTCGACTATAATACACACTTTGGTCAGGTATTTTTGGAAGCGTGAGATTCTTTTGACAGTCAAAACTCATAGTCAATAAATCGTCTCGTTTTTCTCGCAACAGAGCGAAAAAGGCTTTAGCGCTGGCGCCTCAAATTCTGTGACCGGATTGGCTGAACTGGATTTAGGGGCGTTTGAAAATTATCATGGCTGGATTTAAGGGATTTTGCAACTGAGGTAGCTTTTTTATGCCATTTTTACTATAGATTTAGAGCGATTTGTCACTAAATAGGTATAGTGAACAGTAACGAATGGTTTGAAGAATATCAAAGTGTATTTTACTCATTTTTGGTCTGAAGTGGATTTAGGGGGTTTTGATCCCAGAGGATTCATTTCTTCTTTCGAGTTTTGTCACCAACGTTGTTTTTCCATATGGACGCTACTTTGGAAATTTGTACATTTAATTAATTTTCCATTTCTCAATTCAGTGATGTATTTCCTTGGTTGGTCATTAGTTTGTTGTTGGATGAAAAGTATAAGGAATAAATAATAAGGAAACCTGAACACAAAGTGAAAATTTTATTGATGACAACAATAACAATCACAAATAAACAAAGGTAAATCATAGCAGGTGCTCGAAATGTTGTCCGTTATTTTGTAGGCAAAGCCTGACTCTTCTCTGTATGTACATTCATCACTGCTCGATTTGTCTCTCTTCTCAGATTTCCAAACTCCGTTGCTATGTTCACTATGAGGGCTGGTCTGGTATACGAAACAAATGAAATCTAATAATTTCAAGACCTACTCAGGAACTTCTGGTTTTTAGGTATAACTAAGAGCTGGCAATGTCAATGTATGACATACATTTTTATATCAGAAGTCATCTGCGCAAAAATGCAATATGTCGTCCATATGAAAAACTAAAGTTGATGCTGGACAAGAGACGAAACACCATATTGCAATTATATTATGCCATCTCGTAGAAGAGAAAATGTGCAATTTGTTTTGAAATGCCACTACCGATAAGGCCAGGAAAAAATTGAAACGATTTTGGGAAAATTTGTTCTTTTCTATGTACGTTAGTAAAAACGCTGTATATGTTTGCTTATACAGAAAAAAGTGTGCAATATTCTACCAGCGGTTTCTAGAGCTTAAAATAGGAAGAAAAGTTCATATGAAAATAGGTCGACAAACGTCCCCTAAGGGCGCTACGGTCTTTTAAAGGGGCTCCCCTGAAGATGGTTTTTCCTTAATATTTCTGAAACGTGTTGAGATAAAGACATAAAATTTGGTATTCTGGCCTAGTTTCTTGTGCTGCATTTAAAAATATTAACAATTTTAGACAGTTTTGTTTGGAAGCGGATGTAACAGGGACGGACTCAAGTTATTTTAGCTCCAACATTTTTGTGTGATTCTATTTTTAAAATTCAATTTTAGAATTTGAAAATTTAGGGTTTTCTACATAAAAAGGTACTCTTATTGAATATCGATAAATTGTGCAATTTTTGAATAAAATCAAACT